CCCACTCAGTGGAATCTGAGGCCTGTCTTTTTCTTGTCGGGTGAAATCCTGGATTGTTGTGCGTAGACCAGGGCGTGTGGTGGCATCTCTAGGTGCGGATGTGCCACCTAAATAAACCGCCTGATAGATGCGCCGGACCAACACAGAAGCCAGATCAGGGCACGGGAGGCATTATTCGGGTTGAGCTCCCATAAAAAATGCCGAACATGGGGGGGAGGGAGGGGCGTGGCGGCACGCATAGAGCTGCGGGCTCAGGCATCAGCCACCCACGGCCTTTATGCCACTCCCATTCAATAGGAGCTCAGTCAGGTTTGACAACTAAAGCCGCCTGCGCCTGATCCACTTCCGGTCTCGTTGACTTTGTCTTTACACCGGGTTCAGGCAGGTGAGGGAAGAGAGACAGAGTGCGGTAAACGCAAGTCTACTATCAGTTAAAAGTAATTCTTGCGGAAATCACCGTGTTTGCCTTCAGCTTGCCTTCGTCTAAATCAACGGTCGAACTATCAGCTGCAGATTAACTTCGCGCTAGCCATCTGGGCCATTTCTCAGTTCCGGTTTCGATGACTCTGTCATATCATCCAGTGGGGGTGGAGAAGAAGAGAATGCAGAGCAGGCCTGCTATCCATAAAACATAATTCAGGCGCAAATCAGCGTGTCATGCTTTGGCTACACGGTAGGCATGCTCGGCAAGGATGGTCGAATTGTCATTAAGCAGTCAACAGGAAGCGTAATAAGACGTCTTGCTCCTCAGGCCACTGCAGGTAAAACTTGATTTATGATAAGCACTAACTTGTATCGGCAATAAACACGAGTCTTAAAATAACCAAGAGACACCCTCAACGATTAAAATGAGGTTTGCTGTATATCGAGCTATATAAAAATCGACAGCATTAGTGGTCGGTGTAATAATCATATTTTTGTTATTGCTGTTGCAAACGCTATGATAAGAGATAATACTACCACCGCCGATACTATAAGTTCCATTAACAATTGTACCAATGCTATTACTACTTATACGGCTGCTGCGAATACTTCTATCTATACTAATAACAATACTACTGGTAATAGTAACAAGTCTACTACCACTGCTACAAAAAAATACTGCTACAACTACTGCTCCATTAAGACATCTACTATTACACAGAACCGCCACTGATGGTGGTGCCTTTACTTCCACCAATACAACTTCTTATTTAGGAGGTTTGGCAGATTTGCTTAATTTTAGTTGACCCAATTGTGAAAAACTACTATGCGGGTTCAAATCCCGCCGAACGGCGCGAGTTTTTTCACAGTTGGGTCAACTAAAAATACCTCTTCTATGACTGGGGCTGATAGTAATGACAGCAATTATAATGCAAGAACTACTACTACCAACAGTAGAACAATTGATACTATAATAAATGATGCTACTATCAATACCATTACTTCTAACACACTCAACACTCCTCTCACAACCACTAACACTACTACCAATAATTTTACTCATGCTACTAGTAATATTGCCACTAATACTGCCACTACTAATATGACCAACGCGATCAATCTTTCAGCTGTTTAAGGTCATTATTACTGCATTGGCGTAAATTATCTCTCTTTAATTTCTGCGGGGTTGCATATTTTCTCAATACGGCTTCCTTATTGGTTGAATAATTTTCACTTGTGCATTTAGAATGTGTTCAATATTTAAATACCCCAACAGAGTAGCAGAGTATAAAAAGCAGCGGATAGGAACAAACCTGTAGATGGGGGTCGTAGTCATTTCTGCCATAGGCATAGGCTGTTTTCTCGTCTTCGGACTCATTCTGGTCTCCACTGCCTAAAAAAAGAAGTGAGAAGCTGAAACTGTCATAGGCAATCCTGCGGATTCTGGAATGCTTTAGTATATCGTTTCTAATAGCGCCCAGCGTGGGGGGATTTTCTGTTCTTGTCTCATAACCGCATGACATTTAATCAACAGTAAACTACCAGAATTTACAGCCGTATGATTTGAAAGTCGGAATATAAGAGATGATAAATACACTATAAGGCATATAGAATTCGGACAATACAAATCCAAACGATTGAGGATACACTTACAGTTGTGGGTACATGATGTAGGGGTGGCCGGTCGGGTTCCAGCGTAGTAGTCACTGAGAATAGGAATGATTGATTAACAGAAGTAATTTAGGGGAGGTACTGTTAGAGGAATTAACTATTCCATTGAAAAGAATGACAACTCAAGTTTTCCTTCACCCGAATAAAAATTGAGTAATCGTGTTTCCCGCGTAAAAAAATTGACCGGCTAAGAGAACTAAAAACGCTTGAGACTTTTGTGAACTTACGTCACATGTTACGACAGGCCCTTGAAAGCAAGTTTCTCTTTTCCTGTCATCCTTATGCACCAAGTTTTTTTCCGCTACGTGCGAATTCACCTATTTTTAAATACACACTCAAAGTCAATTTCTTTTTTTATTCGTAGGAATTGGCAGTTCAGTCCACTGACTATACTAACATTTTTGTGGAGAAAAACGAGGCTTCCTTCAAATATGTGCGTTCAACTATGCATTGTTCTTTTGTTTTTGCTCCACAGTATTTTAAGAACCTTAAGCTAACAACTTGATTACTTTAATCTGAAAAGGGTCTCTTTTGGGAAACTCAAGGTATTAAAGGGCCTCTTTGAAAAGAAACTGGCAAGATGTTAAATCCTTGTGCCATTTAGAGAAAGAGGTCGGTCGCGTTGCAAAAAGTTAAGTACTAAAACAAAGAAAATCCAGAGGAACAATGCGTACTCAATTCAGCCAATCAGATGTGTGGGAGAAGTTCAGTAAGCCGATTATTGGCGAAACTGGCTGGTCAGTGCAGCGGAAGGAAGTTGGAAAGTAATTGCCCAGCAGTTTCAAAAGGAAAGTAAGCAAGGGCATTTTTACGAATTAGAAGACAGCAAGGCTGTGGGCATTTACCAGCTATAACTATGTGCAAAGATAAGCATAGTAAATTTCAAAGCGTCCTTATTGATATTATTGCTGTGCTTATCACTAGAAGCATAAATACCTTCTTCCTTAAGGCTTTTATTACCGATACGTCAATTACAGCCATTGTGGAGTTTAATACAAAGGGAGGCAAAGTTCGAAAATACGGTCCACGTGATGAGCTAACGCAGTTTCTTGTTAGAAAGGGCTGAAAAAACATGAAGTTGCAAAGACTACGTATACGGTGTTGCCTACAACCTGCAAAGTGTACTCAATCCGGAGCTTAAGAAGTACCGTAAATCAAAAGATTGTGACAAGGGAAGGCAAACATAAATTGAAAAAAAACATGCACACCAAAATAGTCAAATACCAACGAAAATCCGTTGCAAAATGGCGTTCAGGGGAAAGAGATTTTTAACTTTTGAGCTGGGCTCCAGTTGGTGCCCTCGGTATAAGGAAAATAAATGCCTTGCTCACAGGCCCTGCAAGACTCATGAAGTACACGGGTGTCCAGACTATATTTCTTCTTTTCACCTTAGACATCAGCGTTAACAAAACTTTCACACGGACTGCCTTTGACTTGTCCTGGCCTCCCACCCTCGATGATAGGGATGAAGTGACATAGTATTCGGATGCCACGTACATTTCTGCTAGGAATGTCTGGCCTAAAATTCGCCAGCATCTTTTCAGGGGTCATTATATTTTCTGTTCTGTGCATTTGGTAGCTAGAAAAATGTAGTCATTCGGTAGTCAACATTAAATCTGTTTTCTTTAAGCATCCTTGCAGTGGTATATCGCGGTATTACACAGAAATGGTTACTACCAACGATAATATACAGGCCGGTGTTCTAAGGAGATACCATACCAGTAAGGAATGGAGATAGATAATAGAAGCCGCGAAAGAACAAAGCAAGATAACTAAAAGGAGTATCCAACTACCACTTACTATGTCGGTTATTTTCGAATTCTTTTTAACTGAGTCCACTAAAATCTTCAGGTGGTTTTCTGAGAACGTCCCTCCCGTAAATTAAGTGACACAAAAATTGAGTTACTGTAGCTCCAAAAGGAAAAATCATCTATTTTGCGTTCTCGTCATGAAGTACCGGAAAACTGCACAGTGATTGGCGTAGTTTTTTCCCATATATCTCCGTAAAGCCCGTCCATTGGTATTCAAATATGGCGGTCCTTAGCGAGGTTTCTGGCAGATTGCAGCAATTAATTTGACACAATTTTGAACAAGTCTGTGGTTTTCAAAGGTTTTCGAATCCACGACGGTAAGGGCAAGACTTGAATACAGCCAACGCTCTTACCAGCTTAGCTACGGGATTGCGAACCAGGAGCAGCGAGTTTACTCCTATTTGGGTTAATTAACCAGCCCAAACTATTGTAACACATGGGTTCCACCAAGTCAGATACAGTAAGCAGATTGCCAGAGCAGG